AAAAAAAAACAGTCCATTTGACAGTCCTGTGTTAATTTCTGAGCTTTAAACCCCATCTCCCAGAAGTGATCAACATGTAGCTTCTCCCTATAATATCCATACATTATCCAGCAAACAGGTTATGAGAGCAATGGACCTTATCAAGTAAAGGTTGTTGTCTTGTTATAACACCAAATTCTCATCACTCATTTACAATGTAATGGTGGAGAAAACCAATTAACAGATCTATGAGATTAAAGGGTCAAACTGGAGTGAGACTGGGGAAGACCTTTTGGAATAGAGGCGAGACATAAGTTAGAAAGATTGAAGAGTACATGTAATAGGCCAATTTCAATAAATTAACCCTTTAACTTGCAGAAGTGATTAACATGTAACTTCTCCCTATAAAATCCATACAATATCCAGTAAACAGGTAATGAGAATACTCAAAATTATCAGGTTTAAGTTGTTATCTTGATCTAACACCAAATTCTCATAACTTATTAACAAGAAATTGTTTAGTAGCTACAAGGGGGAATCAAAAATCAGACCTTGGGAGTTAAAGGGTTAAAATTCTAGCATGACTCTGAGGCTAGGGGGAACAAAACAAAAGAAACTATTTATTCACCCCTCAACCTCGATTTGATTTCCTCTGCTTTATTCTCCCAAACCTCGAAGCCAAGTTTGAATTTCAATATATACAAAATGGCCTCTTGGATAAAAGTAAGGTTTGTATGAGGTCACTGACTGTCAGCCTCACTGCCAACAAAGCACTTAGCTGTTGAGAAACGAAGAAAAATTAGAAAGTTGAGGAATTCACCTCTAGTTGGTTCGTACCTGCACAAGATAGAATTCTTGAGCATTAGCCACCATCGCCATTCAAGCTATAGCACGGTTTTCCTGTACAAGCACAATAAGACTTCAAGGTTCCTTATGTCAACTGTATTTGGATTGGTTGAAATTTTAAACTTCTGCTGAAATATGCCAGGTGCCGTGACAATCTTTTAAACTTCATTTTCGAGAAAATGCGACATTTTCTGTCCATTTAGAGGAAAACCCGCGGTGTCACGCTCAAAGTAAACAATTTCCGGTGAGTTTTGTAAATAAAAGGCGTGGCTACTCAGCTTACACGTGCCGACAACATTTGTTGCGTGACCTGAGGTCATCTAAAGAACGTTACGCACCGAAAAAAGCTAGGAAGTATAGCTTATATGACAATGTGTACCTTTCAAGTGTCATGTGATCATCGTCACAACTGACGGCTCATCCATCTCTTAGGACGATCATGTTTCCGGGGGTTTTCCATTCGACCAGAGATGTTGAATTCTATAGCATTCTCAAAGCGGGGTGGAAGGTTTTTTTAAAACACCATTCGGAACTCAATCCTAAGGACTGAAGACTATGAAAATCGGGAGAGTCCCAACTAATGTAGATGAAGACTACTGGAAAATTTAACGCATAGGGCTGAGATAAACCTTATCGGTTTCATTTCTTTTTCTGAGTGAAAGAAATTTTTATTTTCGTGTTGGTACCAGATCACGCGGCCGGACGTTGAACGGACGATCAATAACGGCCCTCACTTCTTCAAGAAAATCATAGTAGCTAAGAAAGATTTTCATGTTGGTCTCTCAAAGTGAGACAGGCACCTTGCAACTAACTGAATAAGCACGATTTTCAAGGGTTATAACTATTTTTCCCCTTCACTGACGCCACGAAATATGGAAATCTTTTAGTGCTAGCTTTGGAGCTAGTTTTTCTTATTGCAATTGGAAGCAGTAGGGAGATGGTCCCTTCGTGATGGGAATCTCGGTGCCTTTTACTCAGCGTTAGAAACTCTAGATTTTTCCCGATAGGGTAACAATTCCATAGAAAAAACATTCCTTTTATTGTAAAATGTTCTTTATTTTTAATCACTTCAAGGTAATTTAGCAAAATGTTAATGAAAACTTACTTAGAAAAGGGAAACTTCAGACGTGTTTTTCTCATAAATGACAGATACATTTTTAGAGAATGAATCTTAACTGGGAACAGGGATTTTTTTTCTCACGCTGGGATGTGAAAAATGGGAAACGTGTCTGGGAGTTTAAGTCTGTTGTCAGCTCTTGGCATAGAAGAACAAGAAGCTTGCCTAACGAGACTGAATCACGAAATTAAATTGAATAACTTTTAGGGGGGATTTCGATTGACTTTTGAAGAAACGAAGCCGAAGAAATCGCATCAGCCAATTGGAACAAAACAAAGTATCACACGGAGTTCATAAGAACTCAAAGTTAAATAATGAAATCACCTAAGGGACAGGAAAATGCAAGTGACTAAGGCTCCCGATTGGTTCCAGTTTTGCACGTGATTTCATAAAAGCGTGCTTATGGTTTTCCTTAACCAATTGCAGAGTGATGAGAACTAAAACCTGCAATACAATCCAAACCTACCTTATCGCATTCAAAAACTGCTACGCACTTTGTCTCTGTCTAATAGTGACCTTAAAGATTTTTCCGTTACTAGAGAACGTCTTTGCCAGTTCCTTTGGTGCAAATATTCATCGGAAAGTTTGAAAAAAATTTTAAAAAACCTTGAAATGACCCAGAATCTCAAGGTTGGTTACGGCCGGATAACTAACTTAAAAGTGAATTGAACTGCTAAAGCTATCTAAGGGATAAATGTTACTTAAGCTTATGCTGCGGTCTCCAGTCAAATTTCTCCCTGAAATGCTTTGTTCGGTCACCGATATGCTGCGCATGCTTAGAATTGGTGAGGCGCTGACTAGGCCTCGAAGATCTTCAACCGTCAGGGGCTCGTGTTGAGAACTGAAGATTTCTTTCATTCGTCTCTCGGACTTCTCATACGCTTCTTTAGCCACGAACAACTCTTTCTCCAGTTTCTCTACCTCTTTCTGCCAGGACAATATTTGCGAGCGAAGTTCACTCAAGTTTGCGTCTTTCTTCTCCATAATCTTCTGATGATAGTCATTTTCTGCTTTCAACTTTCTTGTCTTCTTTTCTAGTTCGTAGATACACTCCTGGAATCTTTCTGACTGCAAACTCCTATCCAATTCTTCCGACCGATTATTGTTTATCTCAGGTGTCATGGAAACCTGGTGCTCCAGTCGACGCTTCTCTGTGGTGAGGGTGTGGTTAGCTTGTTCGAGATTGAATACCTTCCTCTTGGAGTCTTCAAGGTTAGCATGGAGCTGCACTTTTTCCGAGTGAAGCGAATCGAGTTTTTCTTTATAAGATGAAAGCAGCAGATTTAAGGAAGCTACCTCGCCAGAGAGTCTACCTTTCTCGTCCTTAAGCTTTTGTATACCTATATTCTGATCAGTGACACCGGTAGAGCCAACGTATCGAATAACCTGCTTCTCAGTTTGTGACGATTCTTGTAACCGATCAAACCGCTTTTGTAACTCAGTAAGCTGGAAATAAAGATCGTCTTTCTCTCGTTTTATTCCATGGTAACTTGTTTCCCAGCGAGACATTTGAAGCTGTAGGTCGTGGAATTCAGTTGCAAGTTTTTGTTTTTCTTTGTACGCTCGATGGTAGCTATCCATGTATTGTGATAATTCTTTCTTGAGTAAGTCGTTTTCATTTTGAAGACTGCAAGCAAGCACCCTTTCTCTAGATAGTGCATCAGAATTTCTTCCATCGTTTCCGTTACTGACAAGTTCAGCAGTTAAAGTGTCATTTCTCTTTTTGGCCTCATCTATCAATCTCTTCAGTTCATTCTCTTTCCGAAGCTGTACTTGAAGCTCATTGTCTAAAGATTCCAATTTTGAGTTGCCTACAGAGGTTACTTGTACAGATAGCCTCCTTTGGGCCTCCAGAAACTTCTTGTGCTCTAAGTCGAATCTCTCCTGACTCAAACGATAAGCTGATTCCATTTGAAGTACTTTATGTTCAGCCGAGATGACCTTTTCATCACTTGTTTTTATTTTCTTCTCGTATGCGTCTCGCTCATTTTGTAACCGTGCGATTGTATTTTTGGCAGCAATAAGATCATGTTCAAGTGCATTCAATTTTAGTTCTATATCATTTGTATTTGTTTCATGCTTAGCATCCTTTAATACTCGTCCTTCGAGATCGTCAATCCTTTTCGCCCTCCAAATCACTTCACACTCTAGCCTCTCTTTCTCTTGACTTACTGCAGCTAACTTAGCTTCGAGATCTAGTACTTTCCTTTCCAATAGAGAAATTTCACGTGTACTTTCTTCAATTCTCCAAACCAAATGGGTTGTGTTTTCTCCTATGGGTCCATCCTTCATTGTCCCACTTGAAAAAGAAATGTGCGAACTGTTCTTGGTTTCATCTTGTTCGACAATGCTAAGCTTAGCTTTTGACACCGACAACTCCTCTTGTAATTGTTGTGTTTGTCTCTGAAGTGATTCATAACGGGACTTGATTTCAAAGTTAGTCCTCTTTAACATAAGCAATTCTTTTCTGCTGTCTTGAAGTTCTTCTTCTTTAGTAGAGCTCTGCGCTTCCAAGTACGACATCTTCTCACGCAACGATATAATTTCTTCTTGAAGGCGTTCCGTCTTATGCCTTGACTCGTTGTAATCGTGCCTTCGCTTTGTTTCAAGAGCCTGAACGTCAGATATTTCGAAACGGAGCTTGCTGTTTTCTTGAATAAGCCGCTTCACGTTTTCTTCTGAACTTAAAATGCAGTTATCTTTCTCATCGAGCTTGAGTCTCAGTTTTGCTAACTCTTGATTCATAGTGTGATAATCATTACTTCCACTGGCGATCCTTAGCTTGGACGATCGTAATTCCTCTTCCAGGAGCCTTACTTTCGTGCCTTGCTGTCTGTAAAAGCTATCTTTATTCGCCAGCTCCTTTTTGTAATTTTCAGCCAAACCTCTGAGGCTGGAAAGCTCCCTCTGCGTTTCATAGAATTCCTCTTTGTTATAAGCAACCTTTTTGTTGGCCTCATCCAGCTGGGTCTTGATCGTCAATTGCTCAAGAAGTGCCTTCTGGAATCCTTCATCAGACGTTGTCATTTTTCTTTGGTAACCAGTGACGCTAGTTTGGAGTTCTAGAATCTCCTGTTGTGATGCTTCCAGTTTTCCTTGCAGCTCTGTGACAACTCTCTTTAGGTTAAACACTTCTTTGCAAGATTCATCTTTTTCCCTAATTGCTGATGTCAATAAACCCTGAGTGCTATTTAATTCCTGCTGGAGCACGAAAACATCCTTTTGAAGCTTTTGGTTGTCATTTGCCGAGCTGTATCCATTTTCTTCCCTTGTCACGCCTCTGTGCTCAAGAAGCAATCGGGCTTCTTGCAAACCGCGCTGAGCTGTTAACAGCTCATTGTCTCTGTTTTTGAGCTTTTCTATGTACTCTTGAACTCTAAGCTCTAACTGCCTTCGCATATTATCAGCTGAATTCACCTCCATTTCCAATTTTAAGACCTTGTTTTTAGCCTCTTGCATTTCGCCATGAACAGTTTCCAACTGGACAACAGAATGACGATGATCATCCTTTAACGGAGTGAATTCTTTTTGCAGTGCAATGAGGTCTTGTTCTATCTCGTTTTTTCTCGCTACGACCACGCTGTATTTCGATTCCCATTTTGAAACTTTGTCACGAGCTGCGAACAAACTTTCTTGCAGTTCCCCTTCTTTTGCAACATATTCTCGGCTGCTGGCTTCCAAATCGACAATTTTCCTTTTTTGCATCTTGATCTCTCTTTCAAGATTTGAAACTTTTTCTTGTAAAACAGAACTTGCACTTTCATCAGCCTCACGTCGTGATAAAGACTTATTCCGAGCCTCAAGACTTCTGCATTGTTCAGCCAGCCCACCATTCTCCGTTTCGACCCTGTATAGTTTCTTCCTCAGAGCATCAGTTTCGATTTCCAGTTTAGCATACCTTCCGTGAAGCTCTCTTGTATCTGCATCTTTCTTGATGGCCTCGGTCTTAAGTCGATCTATGTTGGCCTCTAGATCCGCAATGTGCTCCTCTGCTGTCACTTTACTTTCTTGATGTATCAATGAATTGTTCTTCCATTCTTCCACCTTTCCACAAAGTGATTCAGTCTCTCTATTTTGTTCCATTACTTGATGTTCCAGTGACGCTATCTTCGACAAAGCAGACTGATGCTCGAGTTTTACTCGATCTCTTTCATGGGCTTGCTTTTGGATTCGTGTTTCGTATTCTGTGTTGGACGCTTCAAGGGTCAAAATTTCCTGTTGTAAGCGGTCCTTCTCAACCTTCATTCTTTCGCATTCTTCTCGAGATGCAGCTAAAGTTTGTTTTAAACTCTGGATGCTTTCCTCTAAGTAGAGTTTGCTAGCTTTCAGTTGGTCGATCATAAGAACCTTCTCGTCCATCTCTTTCTTTATGGTGTCTGCTCCGATTCTTTGCTCTATAAGTTGTTTATCGTTTTCTAAAAACTCTTCTCGGCTCGCTGATACTCTTTGAAGTGCATTTTCAAGTTGGCGTTTGACTGAGTCCTTCTCACGGATCTCATATTCATATTTCACTTCCAGATCGGACAATTTCCCATGCTGCCCAATCAGTTCTTCTTTCAAAGCTCTATTCTCTTGTTCGAATTTCTCGATTTTCAGCTCATACTCTTGTGTTCTTCTCTGAAGGAGGCTGATCTCGCGGTTGTGTTCCATATTTTCCTGTTGAGTATTTCTATTCTCAGACTCGAGTCTTTTAATCTTAATCTTGTAGTCATCAATTTGCTTTCGCAGTGAACTTTCTCTATCTTGACTTTGCCGATATAACGCTTCAGTTTCCCATAACTTCTCATCAAAAGACTTCTCAAGTTCTCCATTTTCACTCAAGAAACTGCTTGACTCCAGTTTAGAGATGCTAGTGTTAGCCTCATCTAAGCTATCCTCGAGACTTTTCGCTCTGGACTGACTTCTTTCATAATTAGCTTTCATGATATCCAAGTCCTGTTGCAATGCTGATACGGCCGTTTCCATAATAATTTTGTCATTCATAGCCTTTTCTAAAGCAGTCTCTTTTTCCTTTAACTCTAAGAGTAAAGTTTCACACGATCTCTCCTTATCTTGGATCTGGCTGTGACAAACCTTTATATCCATCTTTAGCCTTGCAAGTCCGCTTTGGGACTCCTCCCATCGGGTTTTGTAGTCATTTTTATCAAGTTCAAGGTTCGATATCCGGGCTTCTAGACTCGAAGTCCTTAATTTAGAACTACTTATTTCTTGCTCTAACCTCATGACTGAGTCTCTAAGCGCAAACACTTCTGTCTCACGTTGTTGAAGTTTCTCTCGCAAAGATGTTAACCTGCCTTCGTACTCGCTTTTCTCTGCTCTCAGCCCCTCATTTGTCACTTTTATGGTAATAAGTTCATTTTTTGCCTTCTCTAATTCTGCTTCTGTAGATCTGATTTTCACTTGAAGTTCGTCCGCGAGTTGCTCTTTCCTGACAATCTCTTTGTTAACGGTTTCTTTAATATTCTTTTCTTCGATAACCTGGCTCTCCAGTCGCATAATTTGATCTTTATCACAAACAAGCTTAGCGCTGTTTGCATCAAGTTGTTCCTTGAGCTGTGCTCTCTGATCTTGAATAGTCTCGATTTGTGATTCATATTTTGCGATCCTCGTTCTCATAAGATGAAGTTCTTCTTCTGATCTTTCTTTAATTTGTCGACACATCAAAACTTCTTGTTCAAGCACAGAGTTCCGTTTCTCCAAAAGGCTTAGTTTTTGCTCCCGTTCTTCTTTATTTGCCACCGTCTCTTCCAGCTCTTGCTTCAAAACAGACATTTTGTTTTCTGCTTCTTCTAATTCGTCGAGGACGCCTTGAATGTCGTTCTTCGTAAGCTCAGACAGAGACTCCAGTGAGCTGACTTTGCTTTTATATGTTGCTAATTGTTTGGCAAGCTCACTTGCCCGCGATCGCTCGTGATCCAGTTCTCTAGCCTTGTCAGCGGCTGCAGACCTCTTCAAAGACAATTCCATGCTCGCAATCTGGTTCTGTGCTGTATTGAGTTCTGCCTCTAGCTGCTCTTTACGTTTTAACGTTGATTCATAAAGGGCCTGTGCTCTTGAGTACTCCTCCTGTTTACTCACAAGGTCATTGTGTAACATTTTCTTCTCCTTTTCACTCATTTCCCGCATGTTCTTCACATTTTTCAGCTCTTTATGGCAAGCGTCGGAGTCGACGTTAAGCACATTTAATTCCTCTTGAAGCTGTTTGGACAGTGCGTCTTTTTCTGCTATATCCTTGCGGAGGTCATTGTTGACAGACTGCTGCTCGAGCAGCTGACTCTTAAGTAAATTTATCTCTTGAGTAACAGCATTGTGGGTGGCAGTGCATTCCTGGATTCGTATTTCGCTCGCAGAGCGCTGCTTGACAGATTCGTCGATCTCAGCCTCCAGCCTACTAACCTTCTGCTGTAAAGCCATGGTTTGGTGTTGGAAATCGAACTTTTCATGCTCACATGTGTTGAAAGAGGCTTGTAGCTCGGATAATCTTTTGAAAAACGACTGAACCTCAAGGTTTAATTTTTCGTTCTCTTCGGACGTCTGTCGGTTTTCGGAAGCCGCATCTCGGACTCTTTTCTGCGCGTCTAAAGTCTCCTCTCGCAGTTCTCTTTTCTCTTCTTCCGTTATCTCAATCTGTGCTTGGAGTTTGGTAACCTCACTGAGTAGAGATTCTGTCTTCAGCTCGTGCGCCATCACGGAGGCTCTCAAATTCTCGATAGTTTTATCTTTGTTGCCGGACTCCTTTAGCTTTAGATCTGCGTTTCTCTGAAACTCATCATAACGACTTTTTATTCTTGCAAGCTCTGCTTTTAATTTTGTGACCTTGGACCTCTCTTCCTCCAGCTCGGCTTTTAGGTTTGCCTTCTGTTTAGACTGACTTTCTCTTTGCCCTTCACACTTAAACATCTGACTTTTCATTGCTGCCATCTTCTCTTCTAACTCGTTGCAAACATCTTCAGTTTTCTGTAATAGAGACTTTGTCTCAGTAATTCGTCGTTCAGATAAAGTGAGCTCTTCCCGTAGTCCATCTTTCTCGCTAACTACTGCTTCGTAGCTGGACTCCAGCTGGCTAATTTTAATTGAAGATTCTTCAAGTTTAATACTAAGCCTTTCGTTATCATCTTGGGCCTGAGCATAACTAGGTCCCAACTGTGATACTTTTCTTCCTTGAGCAAATATTTCTGATTCTAGTTCCGAAACAGTATCGCGCAGTTTCGAATTCTCCATTTCAAGTTCTGTCATTCTCTCAAGAATCTTCCTATTAGTCTCTTCCGTAGTTGTAAGCTTACTTGACACAGCAAATAGCTGTCTCTGGAGATCATCTTTTTCAGTTTTTACTGATTGTAAACCAGTATCCAACTCGGTAACTTTTGACTGCGACAAGTTCAACTCTGTTTCAACACCTTTTTTTTGCGTGGCATGCAATTCCAAAGACATTCTCTGTTTCTTCATCTCCTCCTTTAAATCTTCCATCCTAGACACGAGATCTTTGTTGGCGACTTCAAGTTTTTCTACTTGGCGTTGTTTAGCTGAAAATTGTTCCTTAGCGTTGTCAGCTTGTTGTTGTATCTCGAGGAGTTTCTTCTGCAGTAGAGAGTGTGTATCTTTGTTTTGGCGTAGTTCATCGCGCGAATCACTTAGCTGTGCCTTGAAATTTTCTCTCTGTTTTGTTGCGCTTTGTAACTGCATCTCCAGTTTTGATACCTGAGTTAGGAATAAAATGTTACGTCACTGCGAAGGCATACAGTATGCCCAGAATTATTGGACTGGAACTGCAAAAATTAACCGTACTATTTGAGGAGTTTCACAGTGCACTTTGCTAATTTTTTGGAAAATTATTCAAGTGATTCCACTGAAATATTCCGCAAGCATATTTATTTGATCATTTTCTTAAAAACAATTTCATAAAATATCCTCAAATTGACATCCGAAATTACATCTGAGGTTCCCCGTAGTTCCTACTCTGCTAAGACAGGACATTCGTTTTTCTCTACGATTAATGTTGCAATTGGAATTAACGCGTCGTGGCAGAACGCAAGACAAAATACATTTTACTCGCCTTAATTTTGTAATTTTTACTGCAACTCATCAGTTCCCTCTGTGACCTCTCGTATTCTGCCTGAATATTGGCGAGTTTGTCTTGTATCTCCACTAAATCATT